TTAACTAAGTTTTCTTAGTAATTGTATAGTTTTCCCTTGACAAGGAGAGGATCAGACTTTTTCAGGAGGATTACCTCTGCTCAACTCATTTCAAGCAGCTCTTGAATAAAATAGTTCATTAGTTCATGAAAAGGAAAAACTCCAGGGAGCTGCTGGGGAAGGAAGAGAAAAGAACAGAGTGCCACAGTAATTAGGTTTTCAGATTGTCCCTTATCCTCCAGCATGCAGGTACACACACACACGTCCCTCTTCCCCTTAGGTAAAGCATTTAGGGGAGCTCATTGCACGTTTTTCCCTGGGAATCAGTGTTCCAGAGATTAAAGTTGTAACCAGGCCATCACTTCCCAGAAAGATATTAAAAGATACCACTTCCTTATAGCACATTTCTATTGCTAGTCCACAGTTCAAGGGCAGTTATCTCCCCTTTACAAGCATTTAAATACCTTAGTTTCAGACTTCCTCAAAATTCAGTTTCCTGACCCTTTTAGGCTCCCATTGCTGATGCTGGAAAACCAAAGGATCTCCACTCACCGGGTATCACTCGTGCCTGCCCATGGGCAGTATGGGCAGCTCGGGGGCAGCAGAGCCACTGACTGTACCTGCCTGGGATCAGGGAAAGGATTGGCCAGGAATGAGGATTGGAAGTGAGGAAAACTGGAGGGGGTTGCAATCGTTCACTGGCAGTTGCTGACCAGAGGACAACCTTTTGATCTAGACCTAGCACAGTAGAGTACAGAGCATCCCAGAGCCATACCCGTTCATGGGAGGCCAGATCATCACCAGGACTGACAGCACCGTACAGCTTCTTTGTGGCTTTACGCCACGTGGCTCACGGGCAGCGTGGTTCACAGCAGCACAGCCTTCACACTCTTCTCCCATTGTTCCTTCTGTCTGCTCTGCACTTACACCAAAAGCATTCAGGTAGTCCGGGGGTCTCCAACCAGGTTGACTTAAACTGCCAACCGGGATGCCAATGAATACACTTCTGGTGATGCTTCTCTGTGCTTTGTCACCCTCTCATTTGAAATTGGCTTGAGACCACCAAGAAACAGCTGATCATCATCAGGTCACTACCTGCCTGGCATGGATCAGTGACCTTGAATTATGCATTCACAGCAGACAATGTGAGTGGAAAAATCAGGAGATGCCAGACGAATGTGCTGGAGCCTCTATGAACTCTCCAATTCTCCTTGTTAAGGGGCACATATTTTGAAAACTGGATTTTCCCACAGATCTGTTGTGATTTTCCAAAAATAATGTTTTGCAATATCCTTAAATTGTTACATTCCAATTGTTGTTATTACTATGGATTACAAATGAAATTCTGGCCTTTCATCTGCTGGGAGGGCTTAATTTCAACCCACAGTTTTAGAAAGGAGTCTCAATTTTGAGCACCATGAAAGACTCCTTCATCTAGATATCATAATTTAAAACAGACTGGTAGGTTAAGAACTGAGCTATAACACGGTATAAAAACAACTCTTACATGAATAATGATTTGCATATCAGATTATTAAATGAAAATCTATCAAACTATCATTTACTGAAGTAAACAAACAGTCTATCTGCCCTGTTTCTGGAAACATTTTGCCTCAGGGAAAAATTTAAACCTGGGCAGATAATCAGGATAAGGTATTTGAACACTTAAATCCTGCTGGAGTCTTCAAAGTAGGTGTTAAGTGGTGCATTAAATTTGTGCTGTTTCTTCTGAGCAGGGTGAATTTGCTCTTCTGTAAATAGCGGGAAAAGCATTTTACAATAATTTGAATCCATGAATAAATGTAATATATTAAAATTTCTAAAGTACAACCATTAAATGTTTTTGTATATAAGCCAAATGAGTGGAATATCCAGGACTGAAATTATTTGACTGACCACAGAAAGATAATATATAATTAAAATGACATCTGCAGCACTAACTGATGGGATGAGAGAAAGTGACATCACAGATCTCATATAAGCTGCAAGCATGTTATTAGATCTAAACCTGGCTGTAAAATTACTATCTGCCCATGGGATTATCTTTGGGCGTTCAGAAGCATTGTTTCATTTACTGATAGAACAGGGATGATAACAGGCTGACTTTGCTTGTCACATTGTTTTTTGGCCTTTCTTTATCCATTGTTCACATTAGCTGCAGATTAGAGGAAGACAAGCTTCAGCTGAACCACTTTCATGGAGCTTTTATTGTTTTACAGTTTGTTCCAAAGGCGCTTTTTTTTTTTCCTTTTTTTTTTTTTGCCCCCCCCCCAAAGAAAGGAATCCAAAAGAATTTTTAATGGTGATAAAATCAATGAGGAGTATAAGATGCACACAATGTAACATTTAGGAATGTGGCAACCTAAGGAATACCCATTGGCCTAAGGCAGCAAAGGGAGACCGTAAGACTTTGCTTATAGCTCCCGTTATTAGCAGTACAAAGAACCAGTAGCTACCGGTTATATCCTGGCCTCATTAAAATTCAGCGCCAAAACTCTGACTGACTTCAGTGGGTACATTTCATCATTCAAGACCTAGGACACAAGACATAATTCTCCTTCAAACGCAGGGCTATCTGGGACACCTAATCTCTACAGATTACATTTCTGCATTAAATTGGACACAGCTGCATTTTGATTGGTTTCACATGCCATTTTTACGTTCTTGGCAAATTATTAAGTTGCCTATACTTGTAACAAGACTCATGCGCCACCAGCCTAAAATAGTTAAGATTCTAAGAGCGCGTAACAAGACAGGCAGTGAAAAGGGAAAAAACAGGAAGCTCCAAACTTTCCAGTCACTTTTGAAAGCCACACTAATGATCCTGAACTGCAAAGGGGACTTAACGCGCTCTCAGAAATCTGGTCTAAGTGTCTAACTCCCAGCATTTGAAATAGTTCCCGTATGCCAATTTTGCAAACCAGGCGAAAGTCCAGGAGCAGGCAGGACCACAGCCAGTCATGGACTTGTGCACACACTGTGAAGGCAAACATGGACCTTGTACTTTCCTCCACACTGCCCCGATACTGGGCAGCTACTGCCATGAGTTATTTCTTACAGCACCTCCCAGCATCCCTTCCAATATAACCTTAAACCTCTGCTCCATCAACCACTGAAATGTGCAAACAGGCTGCAGATGCAGAGGCTGCTGCCTCCTGCTTTTGTGGCTACAATCTTGCTTTTCTTTGTGTTTTCTCCTAACCATACCCACCTGCTGTCCTTTATCTTAGTCTGCAGTTTGAGGGAGTGACCGTCTCTAGTCTAGTGAAGGATTTAGCCCACGATCAATGCCCTCAGTGCTACTGCCACAAAAATACATTGCATTTTATTGATAGTGCTTAATACATTAACTACTTTTAATCCACATTAGATTGTTTCATTGTCCCTTTTATCCTTTTATAATTGATACACAGAATAGACTTCTCATGCAGACCCCTTCAGCATAAATCTTTGATTCAAAACTCTCCATACATGCAGCCATACCAGTATGTCATTAAAAGTTCACACAGGATATGTGCACTAGAAATGAGATGTCTGCAAGCAGTTTAGATATACCATCCTTGTTCGAAAATATTCCTCCAGCACTCAGCCTGGGCCAGGAACCATGTTTATGAATCATGAATTGTTTGTGGCCGGTCAGTGGTGCGTACAATCTTTTGGTTGTAAAGAAGGACGGAGACAAAAACCTAAAGCCTAGTGGGGGCAAAGACTCATAAAGGTGGGCTGGAGGAAAGACAAGAAGCGTGTGGCGATAAAGCACAACTAACACAGAAGTGAGACTTCACTGCAGAAAAAGTCAAAGAAAAAGAGCAGAACACGCAACATAGCAAAGAGCAGCAATATCTTTGAAAATCAATTTGATTTTTAAATGTGTCCTGGATGTAACGTAGGGTAAGGTAAAATCCATTTTTTTCCTGAAAGGTGACAGCTGTGGGGCTAAGCTGTGAGAAGAAGTTGTGAGGATCCATTCTTACCTGTGCTGTTACCCCATCAGAATTACTCGTCATCTCAAAGTGGTAAGAAACATCTCTTGTATTTCAATATTAACAGCTTCTTAATGTGTATGTTGTAGCATGTTTCATGTCAATTGATATGCAAAAATTGTCTCAGTTACCTTTAAAATGGAATTCTCATTGATATTCTTTGTTTCTCACTACACATCCATACTTAAGTGGTGAACTTATTTTTAGTGATATTATGTGCAGTCTTGCAGTAAAGAATGGTCCAAAAAGGACAAGCAAACCTGAGGAACTTTTCTATCACAGAACTGAAGCACATGCCTATGTTCCAAATGCTTTGTATATCAAGAATAGAGAGACTTTCACAAAAATGCATGTGCCTTCAGATAATTCATAAAACAACAGTGATTAAAACAAAACAAAACCAAACCAGAACTGCCTTATGTCCAGATGAAAGAAATACACAGGTAACAAACAAATTGCTAATAACGCATACCCATTAGTTTGCATGCTCCAGGTAGAATTTACTACCTTTCTCTTTAGCCATCTCGATATCAAGTGCCTGCTCTTAACTGGACATTCAGGTTCTTTCCATTTTCAAAAGCAGTAGGAACTGTCACAGGACTATGTAAAACCTGCCTCAGCTCCTAGATAATGACTGGGTTGAAACACTCAGTGGGGGCTCCCTTTTCTCTGGTCATTAAGGAAAAGTAACATGGACAAAACATCTGACCTGAAGATGAGAAAAAATTCTACAGTGTGAATCCTTCCTTCTGGGTCTAGTAACTGGGTTGAAAAGTCATCCCAGATGTAACATTTTCTGCATCCTTCTTTGAAGCGAAATACTAAGAGAAGCAATCTTTCTTGTAATATGTTAACAATTCTGCATCAACACCAAGCCTGGTTGATGGTACATAAAGCTAAAAATGAATAAAATCTTCACTAAATTGCTTTGAATGTTCAAACAGACTGAGTTTGCTTTTTCAACTGAGGCTTATGCCACTTCCAGTTTTTCCTCAAAACATTTGCTTATCCATATATTTATCACAGAAATAGCCTTACCTCAGCTGCATCTTGCTGTTGTCTCAAGACAATTGCATTTTTTATGGTTTGGATAAAAAATCCATTCAGTTCCTTTTGTTTCTTGTTCGGCAAAATCCGAAGCAATGGGATCATAATGAATGGGAAAGAAACTGTAAGAGATTTTAAAGAAGAAAACACTGAATCAGACTTTAAAGGCATATAATAACCCCCTCCTTTCATTAATATTATAAAACTCATTAAGTGGGATGTGTTATTTTTGTGAAACCTGTTTTTTCCTCTTTCTCTTTTCCTCTTTTTCTTCCACCCCCATAGACTGGTAAAGGATTTTCTTTTAGAAATTCCATGTTGGCTAGGACTCCCCTGCCAGACAGATGCCTTCCAAGCTTGCTTCCACAATGCTTCAGGATTTCAGTTCAGCTTCTTGATGCCACAGAGCCACCACAACAAAGGGGAGAATTATTTTCCCTGCCTACTTAAACAATTGTCGTGGTTTCAGCTGGGATGGAGTTAATTTTCTTTCTAGTAGCTTGTATAGTGCTACATTTTGGATTCAGTACTAGAATGATGTTGATAACACACTCATGTTTTCAGTTGATGCTAAGTAGTGTTTATACTAAGTGAAGGATTTTTCAGCTTCTCATGCCCAGCCAGCAAGAAGGCTGGAGGGGCACAAGAAGCTGGGAGGGGACACAGCCAGGACAGCTGACCCAAACTGGCCAACAGGGTATTCCATACCATGGGACATCATGCCCAGTATTTAAACTGGGGGAGTTGGCGGGGGGGGGGGGGGGGGGAGATTGCTGCTCAGGAACTAACTGGGCATCGTTTGGCAAGTGGTGAGCAATTGCATTGTGCATCACTTGGTTTGTATATTCCAATACCTTTATTATTATTATTGTCATTTTATTATTATTATCATTATTATTTTCTTCCTTTCTGTTCTATTAAACTGTTCTTCTCTCAACCCATGAGTTTTACTTCCATCCCCCCCCCCCCCCCCCCTCCTTTCCCCCC